ACGCCCCTGTTGGAATAAATCAGAGCTGAGGCTGTCTGTTGGTGACCCATGCGCGCAACGTTCTGTAGGGCGACAGCTCCCGAGAGAGCACAACTGAAGGCGGGCTAATCTTATCTCATAAGAGTTCATCTTCTGCTCACCGGAATATATTTGTGGATTTGCTGACGTTTCGGACAGCTGGGGCGGCTGTCCTTTGTCGAAGCGAATACTGACAGTATCAATCAGCAAGTTTAAAGTTGCGTCTGAGCGTGCTGGCCTTTGGCTGATCGATTTTTCTACGGTCGCTGTTTGGCCACGCGTGTGGATTTTGGCTTGGCAGTTGGTGTTCTGTTTCGTCTACACGGTAAAAGATGTTGGTAATCCTGCTCCCTCTTTCGGTGGTTTCGTCACAGTGCCGTCTTCGTCTGCAAGTTCTGACTTCGGTTTCACTGTGTGCTGTCCTTTACTTACGTAATGGCGCAGGACTTTGTAGGCCGCAGGGAGGTCCAGATGCCTATTGACATTGATGACTTCTGAGTACCATGCCTCAAGCGTCAATCTTTTAGCTTTTTAGGCTAGAAGGCGGACAACCGATGTTTTTTTCGCCGCGCATAGAAGCCGTACCAGTATGAGTATATTTGAGGGATATGTATATAATGATACTGATATTTGCGTATCCATTTTGACCAACTGCGGTTTTTACGGGCGGCGAAATAGACATGCATACGGGAGCTGGATTCCTGTTGTGTTCAAAACATCTGGGAATTGGGCTTAACGTTAATGTAACAACCTCACCTAAGTAGTACACTCTAATCGAAAACGCATTTCGGAATATTGGTTCACATTTAGTGAGATCGGCTACTGACTGTAATTTTATGGGGTCTTAACGGTTCGACTACCCGTCGCCTGCGCCGACCCCCGTGCTTAACGTTTGACAGCAGTGATGGTAGTCACTTGTCCACCTTCTAGCTTGAGACAAAATTAGCCCGCATTCAGCTGTGTTCTCTCGGGAGCTGTCGCCCTACCGCACGTTGCGCGCATGGGTCACCAACAAACAGTCCCAGCTCTGATTTCTTCCAACAGGAGCCTGTCCCCGTCCCTTGCCTTCTTCTACATAACCTTGCGACAGCTTGGGCCACGATGCTTTCTGGCGGTAGCTTGGCTGAAAGGTAGACAACTGCGAAGAAAAGGCGGACATAGATACCTTGGTTCAGCAGGGCGAGCAAGCTCCGATTATGATGACAGACGTCATGAACAGACGACCGCTTGACAGGCCTCAAAAAGCAGATGGAGTGTTGGGGGCTATGATTGGCTGAAAGAAGGCAAAATAAACCGCAAGCAGCAACGGCAGCCTCGATCCCCCGTTCGCATTTTGCTCTTTATAGTAACCTCGCCCTGCGTATCCATGTAATCGACAGATTTGCTGTTCTGACCCAAGTCGATACGGACAGAATACGAGGTTCGCCTTCTTTATGCATTAAGTAGCCACCTCCCTCGAAATTCATTGACAGTGTCCTATCACACGCCGCGCCCCGTCCTTCTTCAAAGCACATTTATAGTAACAATTAACAGTTCAATTTATACAATCGCAAACAACTTTGCTAGTCAAAATATAAAAAATAAAGCAAATCTGGATATGTAAAAGGCGGGTGTCCAGCACTGCCCTATCGCTAGCGTGGTGCAACCGAACTATTCACTCCATGCGAGTAGACAGTTTTAGTAATTTTGGAGTGAAGGTGGAGGACGCAGAAGAGGAGGAGAAAGTTGTGGGCTTCGACGGCGCGCTTGCTTTCCTATAATGAAAGACGAAACCTTTTAGTGTATTTGTTAAAAAGGGGCGTTCTGAGGCTGAAGGTTTAAACGACATCAGAAAATGCGCACAAAACTGTTTGATAAGTGCACAATATAGCCGGCCTGTTGGCAGACGCAGGAGTACAACCACTCAAGGCGACTACGACCCTCAAGTGTAAGAAACTGGTCATTAAGAAATTGCTACAAAGAGGCCAAATGAAATATTTAAGCGCAAAACCTGCGGATAAGTCGAAATAGTCACATGAATTTTTAAACGCGAGAAAGCATGAGTAAAGGAGGCTCGTCGAGCACCGGAACAATTGATTTATTATCATGAGCTTTCGAACTTGTGCAGAAGTTCATCATCATCATCATCATCACAGAGAGAGATCATACGTTTTTCTTTACTTATACAACCATCTGCAACTCGAACCCTCACAACCATTCACATGAAAAGTAGTTCTTCGGTAGCAGCTTTTAAATGGCAAATGAAACTAGCCTCTGGGTGGCTGCGGACTCCAAATGTAAGGTAAAGCTTGTGGCGGTGACTAAAAAATACACAGTATGTGGCAAACGTGGCCAGCTATCCAGCCTCTCGTAATGAACCTGAGGGAGAGTCCGAATTGTCAGATTAATAAGTGCATCCTTCTTTAAATACCTCTGTAAGTTTTGCTTGGGAACCGCAATGGGGGGTCAATGTCAAATGCCAGGGAAAAGCCATATTAAGATGCAGTGCACGAACCTTATAGGAAAGCGTCGTCGAATGAATAACCGCAAAAAATATGCTTTACTTTTTAAGTCGAGTGTCCAGCACCATAATTGTCACCTTCGGCCAAGCTAGCCAGAC